GCCTCAGGCTACGACTTGCTCTGCTCCCCACTCCAGGCCTCAGGCTATGACTTGATCTGCTCCCCACTCCATGCTCCGGCCTATGACTCGTTCTGCTCTCCGCTCCAGGCCACGGTCGCGAATCTCCCTGCTCCCACTCTGTGGCTTGGCCTGTGTGCTCCGTTCTTGCCCGACTTCTGGCCAGGACTCATCTCCCTTCTTCTCACCTCCATTCTCCAAGTATGGTAGGATAGTTTAAGAAGTTAAAAGTTGAGGTGGGACAGGAAGAAAAGCTGCTGCAAGGAGGAAAAAGAAGAAAGAGAAAGGAAAACGAACTGGCAAGCAGAGAAGCTCTTACTAGATCATCTTACTGTGCTGCCATCTTGACTGTTAAATTTTTAAAATATACAACTATTCCCTTTAACAAAGCATTTAACAAAATTTGTCTGTGCTGTTCAGAAGCAACATCTATTCCAATACAGGTGATAAACAGTTTGTGATTATGGTTGTAGTTGTAGATCTAGAAGGGAGTGTAACCACTGGACGGCAGCCTGAAAGACAAGTATTTTAAGTACTAGAATGGTGACGCAGAAAATTACTTTTACTCGGAAAGTCGTCATAGTCTAGATTACAAAGAGAACCAATTTCAAGCATACAGCTGTCATTTTCAAAATAAAAATCTCTCAAATACCTATTTGCATTACCTATCATAGGTGAAATTGTTGCATTGGTAAAGGAATTCCCTGTAAAAAGATTACAAATAGTTAGGCAGGGTGTTGGAGATTTTCATTTGTACTGGCTGTGGTGAGGCAAGACATGCTTTTTAAAAGCACTTGATTAATGTTTTGTCTGCTGTTATTAATGATTTCTGAGTATGCCACATCAGTTGCATGCTGTTTTACATGATAATTTTATGTGACAAATATTCTCTTTGTCCAGAACTTTACGTGCAGCTTAAAGGAGTTGCTGATGTCAAATGAACAGAAGGCAAAATATGTAGAATTGACACCCCAGTCATACTGTGGTGTTCAATAAAAGGGAAGTACACGATTTCAGATCCAATATTCAACAACTTCACAATTTTGACTGGTCTGTAACATTAGCTCTTAAATTGTCTACAGATTAGGACACGTATAAATTTATTTTACAGAAACATATTATGTTACTGCATTTCAACAACAGTAAAATAATGTCCTGAATAGCTACAAAGATCCCATTTTCTGTACCTGTTGTATTTCCTGGAGATGATGTCCCAGCAGGTGTCGTGCTGTTCTCTGTAAGAGAAACATATGATATCAGTTCAGACAATGAACAGTCGAGGTGATGTCCCACTAATTGTCATGCTGTTCTGTGTAAAACAAGATTGTGATTTCAGCTCAGAAAATCAACAGCCTCAGCCCGTCTACAAACTAATTTGGAAATTATCCACACAAGAGCGCGCAGGTAATCTCCTTTCACAAACCAACATAATTAAGGATTACACTATCAAATGTTCAATTTTTCTTGTGTTCAGGACATACAGATTATTGCTTCCAACAGTGCATTTAACGCACGAGTATCTATTCCCAGACAAAGCCAGGCCTTCTGTTGTCAAAAATCTACTTTTGTAGTGAAATCAGGCCAAACAACAACAAATCTTGAAATTTCAATATTAATTCCAAGCACTTAATCTCACCAACTAAAGCTATGAGATGATTGTTTTCAGAGGAACACATATTTCTACCAAGTCACATTCACGCAAGTACAAACAATCCTATTTATGGGCCCTATCCTCCTCTGGTGTCATTCCATGTTCATTGTGCTCTGAAATGGATACCAGGAGGTAATAGTGGGAAAGGAATTTCCAATTAAACATTACAAGAGGATAGTTTCGATGTGGTGATTTTCATTTTCATTATTTGGAAAACAATTGGGTAGAATGGCCTTCCAAGGAACCAGATCGAATTTAGTGGATTACATTGGTGCCAATGTGATGGCATAATATTTGTTTTATATGTGCTTAGGTGACATGTACTTCTGAGATTATTGGCATTTTTAGACAATGCTGCACAGTGACATTGATGGTTGATGGCACAATGCTCAGTATCTCTTTTCCTCCTGGGAGATCGTCCCTCCGAAACATGATGCAATTTAACTTAACTGGTGGCAAATATGCAGAGGGGCAGAAAGTGCCAATAAATATGCGTTATTTAAAAAGAGTACAAGGTCATTCATTCAGTCAAACAAAGCAAAACATTTTCCATTAATGTGTGGGTGAAACAGTAGTGTAGGGAAATGAATCTGTGGTAGAACAAATTACAAGCTGTTAGTTTCAATACACTAATTTCCATCTTTGACAACCTGTGAAGTGGTCTCTTGTGGAAACAGCTCTAGGCCAGGAAGTTGTCTGTGATATATAACAGGAGCCATTCTGTTACTGCAAACACTCCACATCTTTTGATGTTGTAAAATTACTAAACAGACTCCATTATGTTGCCAACTGCCTGGGCCCAAGATTATTGTCCCTTCAATGTTGTAGTTGTTAGTTGAGACCAAGCTTTACAGTGTCAGCTTGATTATTATTGAAATTATAGACAATAAGTCTGTAATCACATCTTTACAGCTATGGGCACAATCCAAATTCAACATCTTTTACAACTCTCATAGCTCAGATTGGTTTCACTGCTCTGTCATTCCAGGAGTTCTCTGGTGTTAAACTGAACTGAACTGAACTACTGTGGTTTCAAAAATCACATTTCCAGTATCTGATCCGATTGCTCGGAAGATGTGATGTGATCTGGAATGCACTACACACTGAGTTCATGGGATCGCTTCTGAACATAACTGTCAAAAGAGACTAAATAACGGGAGGGCAGAAATTTCCAGAGTTATGTGGGAAGGCAGGAGATTGAGAATAATTGAACAGCTCTTTCAAAGAGACCTGTACAGGCTCAAAAGACTGAACAGCCACCTTCTACCCTGTCTGATTCAATAACAAAACACATCATCAGCTTCCTGATGATATTTCAGTAGGTGTCGTGCTGATTTCTGTAAGATCGTGATTTCATTTCAGACTGAAAATGAACAGCCGCACCTGTCCACGATCTAACTTTGTAAATCATCTATACAAGAAGACACAGGGAATTTACTTTCACAGAACCACATAATTAAGTTAAGTGTTCAATTTTTCTTGTATTCAGTAGATACAGATCATTTCCTCGAACAGTGCATTTAACCCATGTGCTGATTGGAATCAAAATCTATTCCCAGTCAAACTCAGGCTATCTGTTGTAAAAAATCCATTTTGAAGTGAAATCAGTCCAAATGAAAACAAATCTTGAAATCTTATTATTAATTCCAAACATTTAATCTCACCAACCAAAGCTGCAAGGTTGACAATTTTCAGAGGATCACGTTTTAATACCAAGTAACATAAGACATCTACAAACAATACAATCCTATTTATGGACCCTATCTCCTTCTGGTGTCATTCCATGAGTTGCTGACACTTGTTTTTTGTTATTAAGTGTATTGATGTGAAGTGTATTTTCCTGATGTTTCAGCACCAGTGATGAGTGGTTCTGGCAAGATTATTGTGAACCTAAAAGAGGAATTGCAAATGGAGAAAATGGGAAGGATACGTTAACTGTACATGATGAGACAATGAACACAAAGGCAGTCATACAATCGTCAAATAAAAATCAAGCCTTGTCCATTAATATATGTGTACTTGGCTGTCATTTTTAACTTTGAAATGTTCAATGTGTTCTGAAATGGTTGCAAGGAGGTAATAGTGGGAAAAAAAAACTGAATCTAAAAGATTACAAGAAGATAGTTTTGATTTTCATTATCATCACTTGGAAAACAATCTGGAGGATTCAAAGAAACAAATTGAACTGAGTGATGTAGGTTGGAACCCATATGATGGCATAATATTCTTTTTCCAAGCACTTGGCTGACATTTTTTGTGTAATTATTGGCACTTTCAAAGACTGCTGCAGAAGAGACATTGCTAGGTGATGGCACAATGCAAAGTGTCCATTTTCCTCTGGGAGATCGTCCCCCAGAAACATGGTACAACTTAAACAAGATGCTATGGTGACAAATAAGCAGAGGGGCAGAAAGTGTCAACGTGCATCACTAAGTAGAAAACAAGGACATTCATGGAGTCCTACAGCATGGAGACAGGCCATTAAGCCCAAACTGGTCCATGGCGTCCAAATGTCCATCCACGCCAACCCCACTTCCCTGCATCTGGCCCATATTCTTCTGTACCTTTCCTACCCATGTATTTGTCCAAATGCCTTTTAAGTGTTGTTAATGTACCCACCGCAACCACTTCTGCTGGCAGCTCATTCCATATGTGTACCACCTTCTGTGTAAAAAAAATTGCCCCTCAGGTTCCCATGTATTTTTTCCATTCTTACCTTAAACTGATGCCCTCTAGTCCTCGATTCCCCAACCCTGGGAAAAAGACTGAGTGCATTCACCCTATCCATGCCTCTCATGATTTTGTACATGACTATAAGATCCCCTCTCAGTCTCCTACACTCTAAAGAAAAAAAGTCCTAACTTATAAGGTCTGCCTTATCCTGCACAAAAGCAGTAAGGTCCACTGCCTTCGTGTCATCAAGGGACCCCCTCCCCAATTGTTGGTCCTTAGGGAGGGCTGAATGGACTGCTGGATTGAGGCACTTGGTGACTAATTTGGTTTGCTCCTCTGCATCCAGTCCGTGTATGACAGACTATCGGTATATTTCATCAAAAAATGTATACGGATCTGAGGTGGAATCAAAAAGTACCACTTTTTTGGCAATGTCCATCAGTTGGGTGGCTGGAATAGGTGTGGTATATATAGCGCGATCATCAGTTGTGTGATGCTGGGTGGATGTGTGAACCTTCTTGAACTCAACACAAAATTCCTTCAAATCTTAAAATAAAAAAAAGACTTTCCCTCAACTCTGTCCCCACCAAACACTCCTGGGGTAGGGACAATGAGGGGTCGAAATACGGAGTAAACTTTCCTCTACGCATTCGAACTCAAAGTAAACTAAAATTCAAATCCCCTCGGCTCCATCCCCATTGAACACTCCCAGGACAGGGACAAAGGTTTAAAATTCAGAGGAAAGTTTCTTCTTCACTGAAAATAAATAAATTAAAGCTCCCCTTACACTGACTCCATCAAACACCTCTGGGACTGGGACAACAGGGGGTTAAAATAAAAGCTCCCTTGGTTTGTTGAAGGAGTCCAAAGTGTCTCTACGGTTTCTACACAAGAGGCACACATCTTCCCCCCTCTAGGCTGACTTCCTCACAGCCCCTCTATACCCCATTACCCTTCTCCAGCTCATGCTTTGCTCACTGGCTGTAGAACACCTGGCTCGTACTGTGCCTGTCACAGTTTAAGGTACCTGGTTTATGGCTCAATTGTAGTCAGTGCCAACATCTCACATGTTCAAGCTATATCCTGGCCTTGGCATGGGGCAGCTGCCCTTTTAACAACCAGCTCAGGCTGAATGTGCAAGATACCAGGCAAGTTTGGCAGTTTGGGTTTGGAGGACCTTAAGGGTCACTTCACACTGAAGCTTCTCAACAGGGACACCAAATGTAGTCTGGTTCTTCTTTAAACAAGTTGCAGACAACTCCAACCAGAATGTTATGAATGAATTTGCCCAGGTGTCCCACAATACCAAAGTGGTCAAACCAAGCTGGCACCAGAGCAAAACATTCCCACCTTATTAGGAACAAAATTACAATAATGTTTAATACTAAACATATTATCCCTAATCCTATTTGGCTGTTTACAGTTATAATACTTCCCGAGTCTCTTGTAAATTTACACAGTCGCTCTCTCTGTGGCTCTGTCTCTGGGTCTGTGGAGCTGCTATCTCCCTGTCTCCCTCTCTCTGGATGGTCAGCTGGTCTCTGCCTCTTGCTATGCTGATCTCCTCAAAAGGCCTCAGATGAATCCAAGAGCAGTTCCAAGAGAGAAGTCTGCAGGTGAACTATGTTTTTGTACTTTTTAGATGGTTTTCTGTAAGTTTCCGTAGTTATGACCAATCAGGGAGATACACTTAATAGTTTGAAACAAGAATAAATCATTTAGATGGCATGCTATTGTCAAGATTCTTTGTGTGGCAGGACCTGGCGCCTTTCTGTCTGGGCTGCCCTTTGTTTAATGGATAAATTGTTGCAGACTAACTTGGAGATAGTAAGAACTGCAGATGCTGGAGTCAGAGATAACACAGTGTGGAGCTGGAGGAACACAGCAGGCCAGGCAGCATCAGAGGAGAAGGAAAGTTGACGTTTTGGGTCGGGACCCTTCTTCAGAAACTGAGGAAAATGCTGTGTTCCTCCAGCACCACACTATATTGTGCAGACTAACTGTTGCTTTTTACATTATGCTAATGTAATTAGCACATGGCTTCTGTGTTTGCACTGTGTCTGATGTGTGCTTCTGTGATTTCAGAGTTTTACTTGGCCAATGTGCCCAGCATCACTTGCTGTTTGGACAAGTTGACAATGTGTGTTTTAGCATCCAGGAGGCTGCTACATGAGACGATGCTAAGTGTCGCTTGTCCTTCTGGGAGATCGTCCCTCTGAAACATGGTGCAACTTAAATGAGATGCTGGTGGCAAATAAGCAGAGGGGCAGAGTGTGTCAATCAGTGTGCATCAGCAAGAAAGAGAGCAAAAGGGCATTCATTCAGTCAAACAAAACAAAACTTTTTCCTTAATTTTTTGGGGGTAATAATAGTATAAGTAAATTAGTTTGTGGTAAAAATTAAAAGCTGTCAGTTTGAATGTACTAATTTCCATTACTGACAACCTGTGAAGTGGTCATTTGTGGAACCATCTCTAGGCCTAGAAATTGTCTGTGATATATAATAACAGCCTGTTTGATACTGCCAACACTCCACAACTTTTGATGTTATAAAATTACTAAAGAAGCTCTGTTCTGTTGCCAATTGCGTGGGCCCAAGATTATTGTCCCTTCAATGTTGTAATTGTCAGGTGAGACTAAGCTTTACAGTGCCAGCTTGATTATTGTTGAAATTATAGACAATAAGTCTGTAATCACATCTCTACAGCTATGAGCACTATACAAACTCTTTCACAACTTGTACAGCTGAGACGGGTTTTACTGCTCCACCTGGTGTTAAACTGAAGTGAACTCCGGCAATGTCAAAAATCACATTTCCCCTATCTGACCGGATTGATGGGAAGATTGTGATATGATCCAGAATGCACTAAACAATGGGTTGTTGTAATCATTTTTGTTCATAATTGTCAAAATTGAATTGAATAAATACTCGGAAAGCTGAAATTTCCAGAGTTATGTGGGAAGGCAGGAGAGTGGGAATAATTGAACAGCTCTTTCAAAGAGACCTGTATAGGCTCAAAGGACTGAACAGCCACCTTCTACCCTGTCTGATTAAAACAAAAACACATCAGGAGCTTCCTGTGGTTCTGAATAGCTCTATTTCAACAACAGTTTTTTTACATCCTTAATAGTTACAAAAAGCACATTTTCAGTACTTGTTCTGTTCATTCGAGGTGATGTCCCAGTCAGTATTGTATTGATTTCTGTAAAACAAGATTGTGATTCAGACAATTAACAGCCTCACCCGGTCCATAATGTAACTTTGTAAATCGTCCATACAATGCAGCACAGGTAATTTACCTTCACAAAACAAGATAATTAAGGATTACACTGAAAAATGTTCCATTTTTCTTGTGTTCAGGAGATACAGATCATTGCCTCCGACAGTGTGTGCAACCCATGAGCTGATTGGAAGCAAAATCTATTCCCCATCAAACTGAAGCCATCTGTTGTCAAAAATCCACTTTTGAAGTGAAGTCAGGGCCAAAAAGCCAATCTTGAAATTTTAATGTTAATTTTAAGCAATTAATCTCAAAGCTACAAGATTGACAGTTTTCGGAGAAACAAATATCATATCAAGTTACATTCATACATATACAAACACCGAAATCCTGTTTATAGGCCCTATCCCCCTCTGGTGTTATTGGCTATTAAGTGCATTACTTCTTTTCCTGATGTTCTAGCACCAGTGATAAAGGCTTCTAACAAGGTCATTGTTAACCTTAATGAGGAATTGCAAGTGGAGAAAAGGGGAAGGATTTGATAATAATTGCACATGATGAGACAACAAACACAAAGACAGTCATATAATCATTAAATAAAAATCAAGCTGCGTCCATTAATATATAAATAGCTGTCATTTTCAACTTTGAAATGATCAATGCATTTTGAAATGGATACGAGGAGGTAATAGTGGAAAAGGAATTTCCACTCAAAGACCACAGGAGGATAGTTTCAATATGGTGATTTTCACTTTTATTTTCATCACTTGGAAATAACCTGGCAGATTCGAAAAGCTAGATCAAATTTAGTGGATTACGTTAGATCCCAATAATATTCCTTGTACAAGCACTTGGCTGACATTTTTTCTGTAATTATTGCCATTTTCAGAAACTGCTTGTTGATGGGACAAACCGAAGTGTCTATTTTCCTTCCGGGAGATAAGCAGAGGGGCAGAAAGTGTCAATCAGTGTGCATCAGCAAGAAAGAGAACAAAGAACATTCATTCAGTCAATAAGATGAAATGTGTTCATTATTGTGTAGTTGTCAATTTGAACATTTAAATTGTGCGCACAATTTACAGTAATTTTCTGTCCCAGGTGATAGGTAGTATTGGCAAATGAATTTGTTGTAAAAGTTTAAAGCAGCCAGTTTGAATGTATGAATTTCCATCTTTGACAATCTGTCAAGTGGTTATTTATAGAAGATGGGAAATGGGCTGTGACATGTAACAGGAACCAATCTGATTTAAAAAAAACTGTCCAGGTTGATAGGGTGGTTAAGAAGGCACTTAACAGTTTGCCTTCATTGTTCAGGTCACTGTGTATAGGATTTGGGACGCCGTTTTGAGGTCATACAGGACCTTGGTGAGTCTTCTTCTGGAGTACTGTGTGGAGTTCTGGTCACCCTGTTACATGAAAGATTGTTAAATTGGAGAGGGTTCAGAAAGATTTACCAGGATTTTACCAGGAATGGAGGGGTTGAGTTATAAAAATAGACTGGATAAGCTAGGATAACACAGTGTGGAACTTGAGTAACACAGCAGGCCAGGCAGCATCAGAGGAGCAGGAAAGCTGATATTTCTGAAGAAAGGTCCCAACCCGAAACGTCAACTTTCCTGCTCCTCTGATGCTGCCTGGCCTGCTGTGTTCCTTCAGTTCCACACTGTTATCTCTGACTCCAGCATCGGCAGTTCTTACTATCTCTGGATAAACTGGGATATTTTTTCACTGGAGCATAGGAGGTTGAGGGGCGACTTTATAGAGATTTATAAAATCATGAGAGGAGTTACAGACCAGAACAGATGCCTCAAGATATGTTAAGAAAATAGCCTAGACCCTAACTTTTAATTATTTTAAAGGTAAATGTGAGCTTCGGTGTTCCAGATGCAATTTGATTAGTCAAACTACTTAATGTTAAGCAAAACACTATTTAATCAAACACTAGCTAAAATACATCAAAAGAATGAGGAACTTGGAATTACTTAACTCTATTGGAAGACTTAACAGAATAATATATTATTTTACCACTAAACAGTAACTGTTTCAATGTAGTAACATTCCACAAACACACCCTTGGAAAAAGGCAAACTCACAAAACAGATTGTTTCACATGTTGCTTGCTTCTACTGTTCCAACTTTACAAAAACAACCCAATCCAAGGCCTCACAAGCCGTTTACTTTTACTGATTTTCTAATTGTACAGCTCAGCACCATTGTCTCAAAACTTCTCTTTAAAAAGAAAACCAGGACAAAATAACCTCTTAAAGCCACAGCATCATCAGAGGGGCACAGATTAAGTGACTAGCAAGGGTCTTTTCCCAAGGATGGGGGATATCAAAGCAGGGGGGCATATTTTTAAAGTGAGAGGAAAAAGCTTTAAAAAGGACAAGAGGGATAACTTTTTTTTTTTTTTTTTTTAAACACAGAGGGTGGGTCATGTCTGGAATGAAGTGCCACAAGAAGTGCTAAATGCAATTACAGTTACAACAGTTAATAGACATTTGGATAAGTACATGAATAGAAAAGGTTTGGAGGGATATGGTCCAAACACAGGCAGGTGGACCTAGTTTAGTTTGGATACATGGTCAGTATGGATTAGTTGGAGCAAAGGGTTTGTTGCCATGCTGTATGACTCTATGACTCTACGAAACTCTCTTATGTTGCCAACTCCCGGGGCCCACAATTGTTGCCCCTTCAATGTTGTAAAATGTAGTTGTTAGGCGAATACAAGCTTTACATTGCCAGCTTAATTATTGCTGAAATTATAAATAATAGGTCTGATTACATCTCCACGGCTATAAGCACCATCCAAACTCAACATCTTTCAGAACTTGTACAGCTGAGATTGGTTTTACTGCTCCTACTGGTGTTAAACTGAAGTGAACTGCTGCAATCTCAAAAATCGCATATCCAGTATCTGACTGGATTGATGGGAAGATGTGACATGAGTCAGAATGTACTACACAATGGGTTGTTGTAGTCACTTCTGATCAAAATTGTCACAAGTGAATTGAATAAATACTGGGGGAGCAGAAATTTCCAGGGTTACGTGGGAAGGCAGGAGAGTGGGAATAACTGCAGAGTTCTTTCAAAAACAAAACCTGTACAAGGCTCAGAGGACTGAAAAGCCACCTTCTACCCTGTCTGATTCAATAACAAGACACATCAGGAGCTTCCTGTGGTTCTGAATAGCTCTATTTCAACAACAGTTTTCTTATATCCCTAATATCACAAAGATCACATTTCAGTACCTGTTGTATTCGATGGAGATGATATCTCAGTAGGTGTGCTGATTTCTGTAAAACAAGATTGTGATTTCAGTTCAGCCAGACAGACAGACAGACAGACAGACAGACAGACAGACAATCAACAGTCTCACCCTGTCTACAACAAAACTTTGTAAATTGTCCATACAAGAAGGGGTTTTTACTTTCACAAAACAACATAATTAAAGATTTTACTGAAAAATGTTCCATTTTTCTTATGTTCAGGAGATACAGATCATTTCCTCCAACAGTGCATTTAACTCATGAGCTGACTGGGTGCAAAATCTATTTCCAGTCAAACCCAGGCCTTTTGTTGTCAAAATTCCATTTCTGAAGTGAAATCAGTCCAAATAAAAAGATTTTGAAATTTTATTTTTAATTCCAAGCAGTTAAACTCATAAAGTAAAGCTGCAAGATTGACAGTTTTCAAAGAAATAAATATTTATACCAAGTTACATTCACACATCTACAAACAATACAATCCTATATACCGGACCTGTCATTTTCTGGTGTCATTCCATGAGTTGCTGACATTTGTTTTTTGTTATTAAGTGTATTGACTTTTCCTGATGTTTCAGCACCAGTGATAAGGGGTGCTACAAGATTATTGTGAACCTTAAAAAGAGAATTGCAGGAGGAATTCCCTTTTCCGCTGCACTTGATGAGACAATAAACACAAAGGCAGTGGTATACAATGAAATAAAAATATAGCCGTGTCCTTTTATATAAATATATAGCTATCATTTTCAACTTTGAAATCATCAATGTGTTCTGAAATGGGTAGAAGGAGGTAATAGTGAAAATGGAATCTACTCTAAAAACTTCCATGAGGATAGCTTTGAAGTGGCAATTTTCATTGTCATCACTTGGAAAACAACCTTGTGGAATAGCCTTCCAAGGAACCCCCAGACTGAATTCAGTGGAGTACGTTGGAGCCCATATGATGGTATAATATTCCTTGTACAAGCACGTAGTTGACATTTTTTTCTGCGATTATTGGCATTTTCAGAGACTGCTGCACCAGTAACATTGATGGGTGACTTGACAATGCTGAGTGTCTCTTTTCCTTCTGGGAGACCATCCCTCTGAAACAATGTGCAACTTAAATGTGATACTGGTGGCAAAGAAGCAGAGAGGCCGAAAGTGTCAATCAATGTGCGTCAGTAAGAAAGTAGCCATGATGTGGAGGTACTGGTATTAGACTGGGGTGGACAAAGTTAAAAGTCACATGACACCAGGGTATAGTCCAACAGGTATATTCATAGGTGAAGGATCAGTCCTCCAAAAGCTTTTGATTTCAAATAAACCTGCTGGACTATAACCTGGCATCGTGTAACTTCTGACTCAGTAAGAAAGAGAATAAAAGGACATCATTCAGTCAAACAAAACAAAATTCGTCCATTAATGTGTGGGTGATATGGTAGTATTGGCAAATGAATTTGTTGCAAAAGTTTAAAGCAGTCAGTTTGAATGTACTAATTTCCATCTTTGACAATCTCTGAAGTCTTTATTTATGGAACCAGCTCTAAGCCAGGAAATGGCCTGTGACATGAAACAGGAACCTGTCTGATACTGCAAACTCTCCAGATGGACAGGGTGAGCAAGAAGGCATTTAGCATGCTTGCCTTCATTGCTCAGGTCATTGAGTATCAGAGTTGGAACATCGCGTTGCAGTTGTATAGGATGTTGGTGAGGCCTCTTCTGGAACACTGTGTGCAGATCTGGTCGCCCTGCTATAGGAAGGATATTATTAAAATTTGAAAGGATACAGAAAAGATTTCTCATCAAGGTGTTGCTGGGAATGGAGGGTTTCAGATTTCATGATAGGCTGGATACATTTTCTGTTGGAGCATAGGAGGTTAAAGGGTGACCTTATAGTGATCTATAAAATTATGAGGGGCATAGATATGGTAAATAGTAAGGGTGTTTTCCCAAGGGTAAGCAAGTTCAAAACTAGGGGTCAAATGTTTAAGGCGAGAGGAGAAAGTTTTAAAAAGGATATGAGGAGCAACATTTTTACACAGGGAGTGGTTAGGTTGTGGAATGATCTGCCAGAGAAAGTGGTGGATGCAGATGCAGTTACATCATTTCAAAGACATTTGGATAGAAACATGAATATGAAAGGATGGGAGGGATATGGGCCAAATGCAGACAAGTAGGATGAGTTTAGTTTAGGAACATGGTCGGCGTGAACTCATTGGACTGAAGAGTCTGCTTCCGTGCTGTATGACTATCTATTGATGTTATAAAATTACTAAACAAACTGTCTTATGCTGCCAGCTGTCAGGGCCCAACAATCTTGTCCCTTCAATGTTGTAAAATGTAGGTGAGACCAAGATTGACACTACCAGCTAGATTATTGTTGAAATTATAAACAACAAATTGGTGATCACATCTCCACAGCTGTAAGTGCCAAACAAACTCAATATCTTTCAGAACTTTTATGCCGAGGTTGGTTTCACTGCTCCATCATTCCATGAGTTTTTTGGTTTGAAACTGAATTACTGCACTGTCAAAACTCAAACTTCCAGTATCTGAACAGATTGATAGGAAGATATGATATGATCCAGCATGCGCTACATAATGAGTTGTTGGAAACATTTCTGATCATAATCGTCAAAATTGAATTGAATAAATACTCGGAAAGCAGAAAACTTCCAAGGTTATGTGGGAAGGCAGGTGAGTGAGAATAATTGAACAGGTCTTTCAAAAAAACACTGTACAGGCTCAAAGGACTGAACAGCCACTTCTACCCTGTCTGATTCAATAATAAAAAACATCAGGAACTTCCCATGGTTCTGAATAGCTCTTTTTCAACAACAGTTTTCTTACATTCTTAATATTTACAAAGAGCTCATTTCAGTACCTGTTGTATTTGGTGGAGATGATATCTTAGTAGGTGTTGTGCTGATTTCTGTAAGATAAGATTGTGATTTCAGTTCAGCCAGACAGACAGATAATCAACAGCCTCACCCATCCACAACCTAACTTTGTAAATTGCCCATACAAGAAGGCACAGTCAATTTACGTTCACAAAACAACAGAATTAAGGATTACACTGAAAAAGGCTCCATTTTTCTTGTGTTCAGGAGATACAGATCATTTCCTCCAACAGTGCATTTAACCCGTGAGCTGATTGGAAGCAAAATCTATTCCCAGTCAAACCCAGGCCATCTGTTGTCAAAAATTTTGAAGTGAAATCAGACCAAGTAGAAAGGAATTTTGAAATGTTATTATTAATTCAAAGCAGTAAATATCATCAACTTAAGGTGGAAAATTGACAATTTTCAGAGGAACAAATATTTATACAAAGTTACAATTACACATCTACAGACAATACAATCCTATTTATGGGTCCCTAGCCTATCAGCGCCACTCCATGAGTTGGTGACATTTTGTTATTATGTGTATTGATTTTTCCTGATGTTCTAGCGCCAGTGATAAGGGGTTCTTACAAGATCATTGTGAACCTTAAAGAGGAATTGTAAATGGAGAAAAGGAAAATGATATGTTAGTAATTGCACATGATAAACAATGAACACAAAGGCAGTCGTAGAATCATCAAATAAATATCAAGCTGTGTCCATTCATATTAGCTGTCATTTTCAACTTTGAAATGATCAATACATTCTAAAATAGATACAAGAAGGTAATAGTGGAAAAGGAGTTTACTCTAAAAGATCACAAGAGGATAGTTTTGATGTGGTGTTTTTCATTTTCATCTCTTGTAAATCACTTGGATGGAAGGGCCTTCCAAAGAAATAGACTAAATTCAATGCAGTACATTGGAACGCATATGATGGTTTAATGTTTCTTTTACAGGCACTTGGCTGACATCTGTTTCTGTGTTCATTGCCATTTTTAGAAACTACTGCACCAGTGACATTGGTGGGTGATGAGACAACACTAAGTGTCTATTTTCCTTCTGGGAGATTGTCCCTCTGAAACACACTGCAACATAAATGAGTTCCTGGGGTGGCAAATAAGCAGAGGACTAGAATGTGTCAATCAATGTGCATCAATAAGAAAGAGAACAAGAATATTCAGGCGGTGAAACAAAACAGAATTTGTCCTTTGTGTATTGGTGATATGTTAGTATTGGCAAAAAAAAAATTGTAGTAAAGATTTAAAGCATTCAGTTTGAATGTAAACATTACAATCATTGACATCTTGTGAAGAAGTCGTTTATGGAACCAGCTCTAACCCAGGAAATTTTCTGTAATATGTAACAAGACCCTATCTGATACTGCAAGCTCTGCGCATCTTTTGATGTTGCAAAACTACCACTAAACTCTCTTATGTTGCCAAACGCCTGGAGGCCATGATTATTGCCCTTTCAATGTTGTAAACTGTGGTCGGTAGGTGAGAATAAGCTTTACAGTGTCAGTTTGATTATTGAAAATAAAGACAGTAAGTCTGTAATCATTCTCTGCAGCTTTTGAAGTCATATAAACTCAACATTTTTCGCAACTCATAATGCTGAGATTGGTTTCACTGCTCCATCTGGTGTTAAACTGAAGTGAAATGCTGCAATCTCAAAAATCACTTTTCCAGTATCTGACTGGATCGATGGGCAGATGTGCAATGATCCAGAAAGCATTAAACAATGGGTTGCTGGAAAACTTTCCGATCATAATTGTCAAAAGTGAATTGACTAAATACCTGGATGGCAGAAGAGTGGGAATAACTGAACAGCTCTTTCAAAAATCTGTACAGTTTCCAAAGATCTGAACAGACACCTTCTGCCCCATCTGATTCAGTAATAAATCACATCAGGGGCCTCCTCTGGTTCTGAATGGCTCAGTTTCCTTACATTCTTAATATTTGCAAAGATCACATTTTTCTCTACCTGTCATGTTTGGTGGAGATGATGTCCCAGTAGGTGTCATGCTGATTTCTGAAAGAAAAGTTCACACAATCAACAGCTGGACCATGTCTGCAGCATTCATCTGTAATCTGATTAGAATAGTCTGTCATTTGTAATATCAATTATTTTAAATAAACTCCTCAAGGACCATATTGTGGAATGTTTATTTTTTTCCCAAGTTTAATCCATAGAACAACTCCCTTTTACGACACATTTAACAAACTTTGTCCGTGCTGATCAGAAGCAAGAGCTGTTTCCAGTAAAAGTACAGACATTTTGTGACTATGGTTGTTATTGTAAATCTAGAGGACACTGTAATCATTGGAGGGCAGTCTTCAAGACAAATATTGTGAATACTAGAAGGGTTAAGAGGATAAATAATATTTACTCAGGAAGTTGTCATAGCCTAGATTGCAAAGAGAACCAATTTCATGCATTTCAATATCTGGCTGTCATTTTCATAATTTAAATCTCTCAAATACCTATTTTCATTACCTGTCACTGCTGAGGTGGTTAAGAAATTCCCTGTAAAAAAATTCCTCTCATTGAAATTGTGTGACTGGTAATTTTCAGAGCGGTAGCTATCTTCCCACAGTTTCATTTGCATTGTCTACAAACACTGATGGTTTCCATAGATATGTTTAATCAACTTGGTCAGACATATGGTAACACATCTGGAGCACGTAGGGTTTGAACCCGTGCCCTCCAAGTCAGACGTAGTTATTTCAGCATACATGCGCCATACAGATAGCTTTCTACAATTGCATTCAGTCATAAAAAGGTATTAAATCAACTAAATCTGATTGTTGTGCTTACTATCCATTTCCACTCTGTGCAACATTGCATACATTAACATAATTGTTGATGGAAAATAAGTGGGGGACAGAATTTGTTAGTCAGTGTTATAAATGATGGGCTTTATTGGACAGATATATTTTAAACAGTCTCCCATAACTCAAGGGGAAAGTCTGGAGAGAATCATGGAACCTCCTATGGGATCTGTTCCAAGACATATCCATGTGACCTGCTTGTTATGAAGGCAGAAAATCAAATTGGAATTTATTCAAAGTCAAGTTTTAGTGACTGCATAGAATAGAGGAGGCTGGTGGCTTTATTTTTGTACAGACTCACAGACTGAGTCAGTCAAACTGAGAGATTTGGAGCAAGAAGACCCACTACAGGTTTCTATTTTGCTGGGCAGGAGAAAATAACTTTTTTCATGTGTTGAGCTCCAAGCAGAGAGCTACTATTCCAGGAAACAATTGTGAAGTGTTGCAAACCAAGGAATCTCCAAAAGGTACCTTGTTGCTGGAGATCATTCGATTATACACATTGGATTATTGTCAGGAACTTTGTTTAAAAATTCAACAAGCTGGGGGTAAGGAGAACAGATCCTGCTAAAACTGGAAGCAGTTTTTGATTTTAACTCTAATCTATAAGCTGAAATTTACAAAAAAAAAAAAATCAGCTGAATGTCAATTTTGGTGAGTTTCTTTAAGCTTGAAGCCAATCTAGTCTTTTTTTCGCTGTTCTCCATAACTTACCTCATTAATACTGTGCACACCTCCATTGAGTCCCACCTTCCTTTTCACTGGAGCCAGAATACTCATCACTGCTGGGATTTCTGGCACCAGTTTAAAGTGCTCCTGGTGTGCTGTCAGCCAGGAGTTGCCTTTCACTGTACGCTGTAGTGAGAGGGGGACTAGTTTGTTCCTACTCTGACCAACTTGGACAGTTAACACTGTCTGATGACTGACCAGATCCCCCACTGCTCTGGCTGACTTACTGCAACTTTCTTGCCTGGTTACCCTGACTTCCAGGACTGACCATGGCTTCCTCCTTGATCATAAAGTTATGGATCTGTTGACCCTGACCACCCCAAGTGGCTGACTGACTGTGTCCAAGCCTCGGAATTGATATTGGATGGCACCATTGATTTAATGAACCTTGACTAAGGCAACACAGAAGTGCTATGAGTCTTTAAGCTCTGGCTGAGGGGAAAAGAGCAAAAAGGCCAGGCAAAACCCAAATGTTACAATAAAAGGCACTGGTCTACTCCAAAGCGCAGCATTGAAGTACAAAGCTTTGATTGAGAATGGATCAGAGAAGAGCTATGAGGGTGCAATGAGGGTAGGATTTGTCTCAAGCCAAACTCATTGATGGATAGTGTGTGTGCTCACTGCCCAGGGACGTACCCTGAAATGTAGGACATCGCTGCCCAAAGGGTCTGTAAGAGCAAACAGCATCCTTGAGTAATGAGATACCTGGTCAGTCAGGAATTGTTGCAGTCTAGTTTCTATCCAATGGTTGGGGGAATGGGAAATTGCACATAAATGAGAGAAGATTAGCTAACAAAGGTATGCTAATGTATATAAATGGATACAAATAAGTCTCTCACTGCTCACTAGGGAGATTATCGCCTCATTGGTCAAAATGTAGTTGAAGAATTGGACCTGTTCAAAATTCTTAACATGGAAAATCTGATGTTTACCAGTCCCACCGTATTTTTCCAGCTAACTGGACAATGCTCACACTGTTTATTGCTTGAGAGGTTTATAGCTTACATTTCAGGGCATGGGGTTTTTGTTCTAAACAATGTTCTAAATTTAATAACAAATGTATTTCCTGTAGTTTAATGTATTAGTTGTTTAGTCTATTTTGATTTTGGTGTTTGCTGCAGTAAGAGTCTTAAAACATAATATGTTGGTGATTCTTTATCTCAGTCACTGTGAAGCTCACGCTTCTTTTTAAAAGTCATTTACGGGTATCTTAAACAAAGTACATCAGTGAGCAGAAACATAAGTACATTCATCCAGACATGTAAATAACAAACTTTGTCCATTAATGTACAGATGTGTACCCAAAATTTAAATGTATCAAATAACTATTTGCAATCACCTGTACTGGTGAAGTGGCTTTGTTGATAAATGAAATCCTTGCAAAATGATTACAACTCATTTGTGCTCAGTTTTGAACAACATTGCTTGGAAGGTAAACTGTCAAAGTTGTTCTTTGTAGAACCAGTCTAGTGGAGAAGTCTGAATGGTCTTACAGGGATTAATCTGATACTCCAATCACTCTGCCTTTGCAGGAGTTGCAAATTACTGCAACTGTACTATGCTTTCAAGGCCCTGGGCTCCTGTTTCAGTGTCATGGAAGTTATTAGTATGGTTAACAACTAAAACCAAGCTTGACCGATATTGTAGACAGTGACGCTATGATCGTAGCTTTGCATAGCCAAGAGGCATCCAGCCTCAAAGTCGGACCTGCACAATTCATAGAGCTGAAATTAGATCATCTTTCCAGCAGTTCTCTTTGTTTTTTAAATAACTAACTTAAACCAACACATTCACAGAAATCATATTGCCACTACCTTTTGTGCTTGAAGAAGATAATGTAACTTCAGAAGACGTGGAGCCTGTAAAATTTGTATAATATTAGATCAGATCAAACAATTCACATTGAACACAAACAACAACTAGTTGAGCTTAACATTTATACAGGTTTTCAGAAGATGCTAGATTCTAAGAAAATTCTTCATTGAAGAATTCTCTGCCCAAGTTCTTTGTTTTAAGTATTAATGGATATAGCACATCTGTCAGGGTTAGGGAGGAAAGAAAATGTCAATTTATCTGCATTGAACCAAGTCATATTGAGACTCAGTACTAAAGTATCTGCAAATTATTTGAACACAATGAGGCGTTGACCATGATTTTAATATGGTTACGTTCAAAGAAATAGTTGACTAGTATGTTTCGGTCATGCATCTAATTCTTTCTTAGGTGGGCATCCCAAGGCAATAAATGATGCAATTACTCAATTGAAGACAAGGTAGGCTGAATAGATGACTTTCCAGAGACCAAGCTGCTGAAACTGCCACAGTATCCAAAGGTAGAAGCAGAATATGAATATAATAATGCTCTTGTAAAGAGGGAAGTTGCGTTTGTGTAATGTCTTTCACAACCACCAGATGTCCAAAAGCAATTTTGATGCAATGAGTAACTTTTGAAGTGTAGCTGCTTTGTAATGAAGGAAATGTGACAGCCAGAGTAGCAAGCTCGCAAAAGCAATAATGCGATTGCTGCAGTTAATCTGATAAATCTATTTGAATTGATTGAAAGACAAATATTTACCAAGGCATCAGGGGCAACTCTTGGCCTTCTCTGAACCTGTGCCATGGGAACTTTTTACACTTACCTGAGAGGTCACACAGAGCCTTAATTTAATGTCTCACTCAAAAGACAGCACCTCTAACAATAAGTACTCCATTTGTTAGGTACTGATTGATTAGTATGGATTACAGTATTCAAATCCAGGAACAGACCCTCAGGAGTGAGAACGGTGATAGTACAGACTGGAGTCGAAAAAGAGTGTCAGAGTGACAGCAAAAGTAGGGGCCTTGGAATTGACTGAACTAGCATTGACAACAAGAGTGACTGGGGCCTCTGGACTGATGAGAGTAATTGAGATTTCAGGGGTGTTGGGAACCCTAATGGTTAATGTCATTTATACGACAGAAAGAAAATGAAGCAGAGATAGTAGGAACTGCAGATGCTGGAGAATCCGAGATAACAAGGTGTGGAGCTGGATGAACACAGCAGGCCAAGCAGCATCACAGGAGCAGGAAGGCTGATGTTTCGGGCCTAGACCCTTCTTCAGAAATGGGGGAGGGGAAGGGGGTTCTGAAATAAATAGGGAGAGAGGGGGAGGCGGATAGAAGATGGATAGAGGAGAAGATAGGTGGAGAGGAAACAGATAGGTCAAAGAGGCGGGGATGGAGCCAGTAGGTGGGGAGTTAGGGAGGAGATAGGTCAGTCCAGGGAGGGCGGGATGAGGTTAGTAGGTAGGAGATGGGGGTGCGGCTTGAGGTGGGAGGAGGGGATAGGTGGGAGGAAGAACAGGTTAGGGAGGCGGGGACGAGCTGGGCTGGTTTTGGGATGCGGTAGGGGGAGGGGAGATTTTGAAGCTTGTGAAATCCACATTGATACCATTGGGCTGCAGGATTCCCAAGCGGAATATGAGTTGCTGTTCCTGCAACCTTCGGGTGGCATCATTGTGGCACTGCAGGAGGCCCAGGACGGACGTGTCGTCTGTGGAATGGGAGGGGGAGTTGAAATGTTTTGCAACTGGGAGGTGCAGTTGTTTATTGCGAACCGAGCGTAGGTGATCTGCAAAGCGGTCCCCAAGCCTCTGCTTGGTTTCCCTGATGTAGAGGAGGCCACAACGGGTACAGTGGATGCAGTATACCACATTGGCAGATGTGCAGGTGAACATCTGCTTGATGTGGAAAGTCTTCTTGGGGCCTGGGATGGGGGTGAGGAAGGAGGTGTGGGGGCAGGTGTAGTGGTTGCAGGGAAAAGTGCCAGGTGTGGTGGGGCTGGAGGGGAGTGTGGAGCAGACAAGGGAGTCACGGAGAGAGTGGTCCCTCCGGAAAGCAGATAAGGGTGGGGAGGGAAAAATGTCTTTGGTGGTGGGGTCGGATTGCAGGTGATGGAAGTGTCAGAGGATGATGCATTGGATCCGGAGGTTGGTGGGGTGGTACGTGAGGACGAGGAGGATTCTTTTTTGGTTGTTATTGCGGGGACGGGGTGAGGGATGAGTTGCGGGAAATGCAGGAGACACGGTGGAGGGTGTTCTCGACCACTGAGGGGGGGAAGTTGCGGTCCTTGAAAAACGAGGACATCTGAGATGTACGGGAGTGGAATGCCTCATCCTGGGAGCAGATGCGGCGGAGGCGAAGGACTTGGGAATAGGGGATGGCATTTTTGCAGGAAGGTGGATGGGAGGAGGTGTATTCTAGGTAGCTGTGGGAGTCGGTGGGCTTGAAATGGATATCGGTTTCTAGTTGGTTGCCCGAGATGGATAGAGAGAGGTCCAGGAAGGTGAGGGAGGTATTAGAGACGGTCCAGGTGAACTTAAGGTTGAGGTGGAAGGTGTTGGTGAAAGCTGATTGTAGTCGGCCACACGAAGAATACAGATCACATAGCCCAGCTGTACATTCTCTAACCCAATAAGAAGCATTACTTCATGCTGCCTTGCAACAATGGACATATTGTATCAGATATTTGGAATCTCCTGCAAGGTTGTCTAATGTGTGCTGGCATGATACATTTGTGCCTTTAAATGTCCCCACATCTTCTAGTTTCTCCAATTTTGGGTCTTTCTAGACCTCTGAAGGGGACATTATTCAAATGTCTGAGTTTGCACTGAACAGAAGCTAATGCCTTCTTTGCTGTGAAAAATACATCACCTTCCCCATTGGGAAAAAGGGAAATCAGGATTTGCAGCAGTGGCAAGCATCCATCATTTACAGGTGTCTGACTGCACATATGTTTCCACCGAGGCCGGCCATCAGTTTGAATTAATCTTCAACAGAAAAATATACCACTCCATCAATGTGAAGCAAGCAGCTACTCATATAAGTTTCTGCAAGGTAGTCATGCAGCTGCTGGAGACAAAGCACTGGCGACAAGTCTCATAAGACAAAGACAATGAGGATGGAAAGAAGAAAGCAACAGAAGGAGTATCTGCTCAATGCCTTGCAGCAACAGAGTTTAGCAATTCTGCAAACCATTCATGTTCTATCCTCTCTACGTTTAGGTTTAACTTGAAGCCCTTTGGGCCTCATTGATAATAAATAAGTTCATTTCCCGAATTAGGTGCCATGTGGTGCCCAGAGCCTGGACTGTCAGCGGTAGCAGTGCCTGGAGTGAGAAGCTTTGGTGTCGGTAGGCCTGAAGCCTGGACTCTGGGCAGCGATGGTGCTCAGATGCGGGACTCCTTGCTGAGGTAGGCCTGGAGCCTGGACTCTAGGCAGTGGTGTTGGTGAGGAGGCAGTGGCAACAGTGCAGGAGTCTGCTGTTCGGGGAATGGGACTCCTTGAGGACTGGAACACCTCACAGAGACCTTGCAGAAGCTCTGCAGTCATGCTTGAGACCCCAATTTGAACAGACAATAAACTCAGTTGACTTCCTATCATCAAGATGAGATTGGTATGGAGTTGAGGTGATGGAGAAGGCTACAGGTGTACAAATGAAGGAGTAGATGCTCTAACAGCCTAATTGACTGCCATGCTGGCTCTTTGAAGGAACCACTTTTTTCTGTGTGTGATCTACTCTCATGAAAGTGATCTGCAGGAGCGAAAACTTCTGAAATTGAGCAGTTCTTTCTAAACCCCCATCTATTCAGACCACCTCCAATATCGGCATCACTTTCTCTATGGTGGATACGTGTGTGCATACCCTTTCCATTTGTGCTTCCAACAAAAGCAGTCAAACAAACAAACAAACAAACAAAAGCACAGCCTCGAGGGTAGAAAGTGGAATTCTGAGACTGCACAAGCAGAAGTGATTTGCTTCATTATGAACTTCAGCAGTAAAATTCCTTGGAAGACTTTCCAACAACTTATGCAGCCACTGAGAGATGTCAGTGTCCTTTTGTTCCCTGCTTTCGCCCTTGCAAAAGCCATGCACATCCTGCCAAGCAAATCTGAGAGATGTCCACATCATGTATTGGGCTGTGTGCTGTGCTATCACTGCTACTCAATGGTGTTCTGAGCCTCACAAGCATCAAGTTTCTCAGTCTTACTATCTAATACACATAGGATGTCAATGGCTGAACTGGTACCTAGGTGGGCTGTAGAGCCTGTTGGTAGACTTTCTTCAGGCTTTTCACATTTCCAGTCATCGTCACATTCAGTAGATGAATCTGGAGGAAAGGGAAAAGGGACAAGACTTAGGATAAGAGAGAGACACAGGACACTGGTAGGGATGGTCTCAAGAGTAATTTGAACATGGGTAGCTTGTTGTATCTCTGCTGAGATGAAAGCAGATTATATTATAATATAATCTGCATGGAGCCAGCTCTGGTAACCACCAGCCTCACCTTCCTTGCTGGTGTGCCTCGGCAATTGGCTTCCAGAGTTCTCCTTTGCTTTGGTGAGGAAAATGACATTAAATCACAAACACAGAACTGATGTCAGCAGAGAAGGAAACTTTTTGTCCTTTCGTGGCAGTGGTGCCTTTCAGCAAGAGTAACTCCATGAGTCCCCTTCCAGGATATTGAGTGTTTCTCCTCCAGCCGGATTGCTGTCACAAGTGTGTGTAATGTTATACTTCTGCAGACGGTAAGGGTGAAATTGAACGGCCATGCAATGAGACATGGAACAGCACTATTTAGGAATTTTGTACAGCAAGGGTTTGGGCTGAGAGGCAGAGAAACAGCAAGGTGGAAAAAGGGTGTGAATGTATATCAGATGCAAAGGTAATTGTATGTATTGTTTAAAAGAGGAGGAGTGCTGGGAGAAGTTGTGGTTATGGAGGTGGTATTATGATTTTGAGCTATATAAAGAGAGGAAAGGAAGAGGTGAGAAAAACAAAGTTGCTGGATAAGCTCAGCAGGTCTGGTAGCATCTGTGAAGGAAAGAGCAGAGTTAACGTTTCCAGTCCAGTGACCCTTCCTTAGTTCTGAGGAAGGGTCACCGGACCCGAAACGTTAACTCTGTTTCTTCCTTCACAGATGCTGCCAGACCTGCTGAGCTTTTCCAGCAACTTTGTTTTTGTTCCTGATTTACAGCATCCGCACTTCTTACAGTTTTTAAAGGAAGAAGTGAATTTGCATGAAATGAGAAAGAGAGGTGGTGGTATATTGTTGTAACTGAGAGGATAAATTTAGTGATATTGGTGGGGACATGGATGAAAAGAGTGTTGTGAAATGCAGTTTGAGTGATGGAAGAGACCTTCAAAGGTATACTCACCTTGCTGCTTCATGGGCAATGGATCCTTTAACTGAAGCCACTTCAGGGAGATGCAACAGGTACTGATATTTTCAAACACTTCTGTCTACAGCTCTGTCATCCTAACCTGGAGACATCCGTGCACCTTCTCAAGAAGAGTGTTTCCTTCTCCAACAGCACTTGATGATGAGTCACCAGACTCAAAACATTAACTCTGCTTTCTTCCCAAGGTCCTGCTGAGTTTCTCCAGAAACATCTGTTCTTGTTTCAGAGCTCCAACATCCACAGTTCTTTGTTTTATTGTAGTGTTTCCTGCTTCACACACTTCCACCTCAAAGAGAATGGTGGGTCAGCCTTTCTACTCATACTGTCTGCCAGAAAACATTTTAGAATGGAATGGAATAGAATAGAATCCCTACAGTGTGGAAAAAGGCCCTTTGACCCAACAAGTCCACACTGACCCTTCAAAGAGCTTCCAACCCAGACCCATCCCTACTCCTTTCCCCTGTAACCCACCTAATCTACACATCCCTGAACACTACGGGCAATTTAGCATGGCTAATCGACCTAACCTGCACATCTTTGGACTGTGGGAGGAAACCCACGCAGACACGGGGAGAATGTGCAAACTCCACACAAACAGTCGCCTGAGGACAGAATCAAACCCAGGTCCCTGGTGCTGTGAGGCATTTTGTAGTTGTGTCCAATAATATTCAACAATCGAAGATTTCAACCGCCCAACAACTCAACAATCTGCAAAATCCAACAACAATATCCAATGGTGCTGCAACAGCTGTTGGCAGCGGGCTCCCAGCGTGGCATGGTGACCTCCTGGCCTAGTGCAGCAGCCTCCCTGCCTATTGTTGCGGCTGTCCAGGGCAGTCTACCGGCCCAGTGTGGCAGTCTAAAGTAATCTCCCAGCCTCATGATCTTCAAGGTGAAGCCCTGCACAGTCTGGAGCCACGGCCCAACGCAGACAGGAGGCTAGGTGCCAACATGGTCTGGATAGGAAGACTGCAGTTTCTGAACTTCTATTTTTGCAATCCTGGATGTTTTATTTCTCTATTTTCTAAGATATTGTAACTAAAGAAGCTGTACCTAGGTAACTTTGTACCTAAGGTGGCGCTGCAAGTGGCGTCATATAAACTTTTCCCTATACCCATTGAGTACGTGTGGCAATAAAAGCTAATTCGAACCTTTTAATGTCAAAATTTCCAATAATTGAAAGCAACAGAATTCCAGGCACTGAAGGGATCAAAGGACATTGCTGATGAGGCTGGAAAATAAAGGTTCAGCCATGATCTTATTGAATGGTGAAGCTGATTCAAGTGGTTGAATAGTTCATTTCTGATCTGATAACTGATAGTTTATTTTCAATCCAAGTTTGCAACAAAGCCTGACAACCTAACTAAGTTCAACATAAATCTAACAGTTTCAGTAGTTCAAAGGCATCCTATGGTTTACAACAGTGTTCAAAGAAAGCAATCCAATCTCACTTGAAGAGTTAAGCACACAGTGGAAAGTACAAATAGAGGGAGGCAGTTTGTCCTCTTCTACAGGAATTTGGGAGGACAGCTCAACCATAAAAATCTATCAAGGTATGCATCGCATGCAACTCTCCATGAGGGATGATAGATCACCCCATTATTCATTCCACCACAAAAGTGTCACAAGTTTAAAATCAGAGTCTTTTTGTATGAGAAGTGTTTCAGTTGCTTCCAGTTTACATCGAATGGTACTCAAACAGTGAGAGAGAAAAAGGGCAATTGACCACTTCAGTGTCTGGAGGTGACAAAGAAAAAGATGAAAGGTTCATGGATAGAAAAAAAGCAACATTTAAAAATACGTTAACTGTGATAATCTAGATATAGGTTAAATTTAGTGTAGCTAACCAGAATATAATATCAAATGTCAACTCTTCAGAGAGTGCAACTTGAGGGAGTGTGAGGGGGGTGGGAAGAGAGAGAGAGAGAGTGCATATGTGAGTGAGTAGTCAAAGTATGGATTACACACATACAAACAGAGACAGGGGCACTAAATTGGAATTGACGAACAGATGTAATGTGTGCAACAGGTCTGGATCAAGGTTCCACACATATGAAGGCCATTTACAGATGTAGATAACAGTATTTATCCATTAAAATAAAGATTGAGGAATGCTGTATCTACGCTGACAACTACAGCACAAATGCATTTGTTCAGTTCTAAAAACAGAACCCAAGCTTCAAAGTCTTCAATAACACTTTCCAAATGAAAGTTCACAAAGCAATATTTGCAATACCTGTGGTTTCGGACTTGGGATCTGCGACGGAAAGTTTACCTGTATAAAGAGCAGAAGGTATTAGGTCAGGCAAGTTTCAAGGATAGAATCAAGCTGTTGACAAATCAGAGACAACAAGGTGTAGAGCTGGATGATCACAGCAGGCCAAGCAGCATCACAGGAGCAGGAAGGCTGACGTTTCCGGCCTAGACCCTTCTTCAGAAATGGGGGAGGGGAAGGGGGTTCTGAAATAAATAGGGAGAGACGGGGAGGCAGATAGAAGAGGGATAGAGGAGAAGATAGGTGGAGAGGAGACAGACAGGTCAGAGAGGCAGGGATGGAGCCAGTAAAGGTGAGTGTAGGTGGGGAGGTAGGGAGGGGATAGGTCAGTCCAGGGAGGACGGACAGTTCAAGGGGGCGGGATGAGGTTAGTAGGTAGGAGATGGGGGTGGGGCGAGGGGATAGGTGGAAGGAAGGACAGGTTAGGGAGGCGGGGACGAGCTGGGCTGGTTTTGAGATGCGGTAGGGGGAGGGGAGATTTTGAAGCTTGTGAAATCCACATTGATACCATTGGGCTGCAGGGTTCCCAAGTGGAATATGAGTTGCTGTTCCTGCAACCTTCGAGTGGCATCGTTGTGGCACTGCAGGCGGCCCAGGATGGACATGTCGTCTGAGGAATGGGAAGGGGAGTTGAAATGTTTCGCGACTGGGAGGTGCAGTTGTTTAGTGCGAACCGAACGTAGGTGTTCTGCAAAGTGATCCCCAAGCCTCCGCTTGGTTTCCCCGATGTAGAGGTGTAGATAGGTGGAGAGGAGACAGACAGGTCACAGAGGCGGGGACCTGTCTGTCTCCTCTCCACCTATCTTCTCCTCTATCCATCTTCTATCCGCCCCCCACTCTCTCCCTATTTATTTCAGAACCCCATTCCCCTCCCCCTTTTCTGATGAAGGGTCTAGGCCCGAAACGTCAGCCTTTCTGCTCCTATGATGCTGCTTGGCCTGCTGTGTTCATCCAGCCCTGCACCTTGTTGTCTCGGATTCTCTAGCATCTGCAGTTCCTACTATCTCGAATACTCCATCATGATTGAATTGATGTTTGAAGTTTTGATTGTCTGTTCCTCTTCTCACTTCCTTTTTTGTCCTAAGACTGGGCAAGTTGTGATGCTCTATGATACACCTGTAGCCTGTTAGGAACATGAAAGAATTTTTAAACTGCTATGGATTGCAAAACTGGGTCCTAATATCCACCATACCAAATAATAAGCTCAACTTGATGCAGGAGCAATGTAGCATTGACTGACATGGCTCATGACATTTAACTCTTACATCACCATAGAAAAAGGACTTTCACAGCTTCACTAGTGTTTAAAGTAATAAACATAATTGCTAGTGCCTGCTCAGAGCTGATACCATAAAGGGCAAGTCACACGCATTTTAAATCTGGATATTTTCCTAAGACAGGTATTTCAGGTCCCACCATGGGAAAAACAAAACCTGTTCACATTTTTGAATGCAAAGGTGGAGTCTCCTCTTTTGAAAGTCTAAATGTCAGTTGGTTTCAGCTTGTTGCCTAACCCTGGAGATCAAGTTGGAATGCAGTTTGATTCCAACAATGGACTGGAGCCAACATATCGGGGAGAAGTAGTAGGCGTTGGTTGCTAAAGATTATTAGATGGCTCACCGTTGTGATTATAGAATCTTTCGTCTTGACACTGAGTATTTCTGCTTTCACAATAACCTGAGAACTGTCCCAGTTGTGGAAGAATAATCAGTCCTTGAACTGAACGGGACACTATTTGCACAGCATATGCTTCTGCAGTATTCTCCTTTTGAAGCAACATGTATAGTATGCAACCATTTTGAAATAGCATTGTCTCCAAACAATGAGGCCAAGCCACAAAATCTTGGTCAGAGGTAGGTTTTAAGAAGCATGGGAAAGGAGGAGAGGAATGTGGGAGAGGAGCAGGGAATTAAAGACAGAATTCCACAGCTATCAATGGTGAGAGACAAAATTTGGAACGCATTAAATTCCACAGCACCAGCATTATGGCAAACATACAGTGTACAACATTGACTGACTAAACTTGTATAAACCTCCACAATGGATAAAGAGATTGTGATTAGAACATTGTGTCACTGGTTTTAATAAATAGGTTAGATAATCAGTTTGTTGACAGCATAAATACCACTTAACATTGGAAGATTTATATTGCTACTCTTTCAATAGATGCCAGGGACAACCACCCATCCAGATGGCTAACTCTCTAGACGCAGCATCAACACTTCATATACCTTATGGCTTGACCTCAGCCCTAATATCGTGGCAGTTCTTTTGGATAAAAGCACAGTATATCATATGTTGGACTCACTTCATAACATCCGCTTCAATATGGAAATGCATCGATCTGTGTTTTGGGCTTTTCATGCATGGATCAAGTAAATAAAACAACAATAAAAATGGAGGAGTGACGAGGGAGCCACAAAGTGTCAATGAACTCATCAATGCCAGCCTTTTTGACTCAAAACATTTACACTCTTTACCCGTCCTTTCTCCACCACACTCTAATTTTGATCCTAGACAATAGTCTTCCTGGCTGTTCGCAACAGACTGAGGCAGTGGGACTGAAAGGTACAAGGAGGAAGGAGACAGAATAATCACATGTGACCATTCTAGAATAGAAGGTAACACTGAAAATATTGGTAAAGCTGAAAACAGAGCAAGCATTGAGCCCTACTGACATCTTTTATGATGTCACATGAAAGAGATGGAATGAGGACAGAGTGAGAGAGAGAGATGTTACATTTGTAAAGTATCTTTTACAGCCTTAAAGCCTGACAGTCAATTGAATACCATTAAAATGTGGTCATGCTTGTAAAATAATGAGAGGTGGTGTATGTGGAATGGTCTCTTTATTGTAAAGCCCAAACCAAAGGGAATCAGGCAACAATGTGCTATTTTAACTTTTCATATAAACTGCCCCAGTTCTGTTCCTGAAAATAACAAGATGAAAAACGGATACAGTAACTGTACACCACTTCTCTTGCTTGGAAACATCATGCCAGTTGTCTGGAGAGGTAGTTCTGTGTCAATATCAAATGGTTTTACGAATGTAATCTTTCACATGGTGAAAGGAATGGGATATGGGGGTCTACGGATGAAATACCTCTCAGTAGAACCCCCTTCCTGATGCCAGGTCCCTCAATAAGGCTCTGAGCGTGTTTAAGATGGGACCCTACTTCCATTCCATAAGACAACAAGCAACCCACAACATGTTATGTAGTTTGCATGATGACAGATCCCCACAACATTAGGTTTATAGCAGCAGTGGTAGGATGAGATGAGATTACATGGGCATGGCCATAAAATAGCAAGCTGCAGGCACAGTCATACTAGCAGAACGTCTTCAAACCAATAGCCATCAACAAAGCAATACTTTAACAGTGTGAGAAGGAGTCTCCCCAGCCTGTTCCAAATAAAGTCTAAGAACTAGCCTCCTTGTAATTTCATTAGTCAATTAGTCTTTCAGCTTAAGGCGAATTCTCTGCTTTTCAACACCTTCATTTCAGCCCATACACTAACATATCTAATAAATGATAGGCCTGCTATAAAACAGACTCTGTAAAAGAAATAGTTCCAAATTGTAACCAGTATATTTTTCATCAACATCTAATCACTGTCTGAGCAATCACGTTATGGGAGTCCAGTGAGTGTAACATCACGTTTTAAACTTCCAGCAGAAGTTTGTTGCTAGAAATATATAAACCAAGACAATCTCTCCAAGGGTAGGAAAGTAAATTTAGAAAGAGACAAGATGGAGTGCCTGGGCAAACTTATGGTAGATGCAGTATAACATGTTAAAATGTGATGCACTTCAGTGTGAACATCAGTTTGACAAAGTATTATTTAAGTGGTGATATATTTGGAAATGTGGATGCACAACAGAATCTGAGGACCTTGGTACACCAACTAGTCAATGCAAGTAAACAAACAGGTGCACTTAGCAGTTTGGAAGGCAAATAATAGCCTTCATTGCAAAATGATTTGTGTTCCGAAGTAGGGATGTCTTACTGTAATTATACCGAGCCCCGGTAAGACCACCTGGAGAATTGTGTGCCGTTGTGATCTCCCTAAGAGAGGATACATTTGTCACAAAGCGCGTGTAGCACAAGTTCACAGAGCTGATACTGGGAATGGCAGGACTGTGATTCCCGGTTGTTCCATTCTGAATTCCACTCTGCTCGCCAGTTCACTTTCCTTTTCCTTTCTTTTTCTCTTCTTCTTCTCTCTCCTCTCTGCAGTAATTACTTCAGCCCCACCCTTTTAACTACCTACCTAAGGAATCGGGTCACGACTGGGAACCGCGTGGCAGGCGCTGATCGCATGGGCCGTGTCCTGCAGCGATGGCCGTGGATCAAGAGCGGGTCGGACGGGAGGCTGTGTCAGTGGGGAGCGCGGGTCGGACGG